GCCGCCGCGCGCCCCCTGCCGGACCCGCCGCGCCGCTGCGCCGCGCGCGCCCCGCCCCCGACAGGGGAGGGGCCGAGCAGCCTGCCCGCGCGCCGGCCCCCAGCCACGTGGGACCGCGCCCGGCCGGACACCTCCCCCTCCATCCTCTAGCGGACGCCCGTATCCCGAGGCAGTGAGCTGCGGGCGGGGCTGAGCCCACTGTGTGGAGTCCAAGAGCCCCGGGGTTTGGCCAGACTGATGGGTGATCGGACGGAAGGACAGACGGATGGTCAGGAAAGATGGGAGCATGCGAACCAGCCTCAGAAGTAGATAGGACTAATATTAATTATTGACGGCTCGCCTTTCTGTAACGTTTATGACTGCAAAACAGTTAACCTATTTATTTAGGAGACAGCCTCAATTACGAGTCAGAAGGACTTGTTTGTACTGCTATTACTCATAGCTAGCATTTATGTAGTACCTACTATGTGCCAAGCACTTTGCAAATATCTTACTTGATCCTCACAACAAACCTGAGAGATAAATGCTATTATAATCCCCATATCACGGTTGGGGAAACTGAGGAAGACAGATATTATGTGACTTGCTCAGGGTCCCACAGATAGTGTCTCAGGATGTATTTGAATTCCGGTCTTCCTGACTGCAAGCCCCACAGTAGCTGTTAGTAAATTCTACCTGTGACATCTAGGGGAAGTCACTTATAATGATGATAAAAACAAGTATTCATATAGTGCGTTAAGATTTACAAAAAAAAAAAAGCTTTCCATATGTTTCTCACTATTACCTTGAAAAGTGGTTAATATTGTTCATTCCCATTTTGCAGATGAGGAAACTGAGGGACACAGAAGTAAAGTGACTTGCCTAGGGTCACACAGCTAGAAAGTAGCCAAAGAAGGTTGGTCCTCAGGTCTTCCTGACTCCAAGTCCAGCAGTTCTATCCACTGCATTACATAGCTACCCCTCTAGCCCAACCCATACTTGAACAAGGATCTTCTACAACATCCCCAAGAAGTGGTCATCCAGCCTTTTCCTGAGTCCGTCCAGGTCCAGTGACAACTCACCACCTGCCCAGTATGATGACATTTGGGCAGCGTTAGGAAGCTTTTCAGAACATCAAGCCTCTAGAACCTCTTCCTATCAATCAACAAGCACTTATTAAGTGCTTACTGTGTGCCATTCTTTGTGCTAGAGCTGGAGGCATAAGGAAAGACAAAAACAGCCCCTCAAGGAGCTCACATTCTAAAAGAGAATGTAAATAACTATATACTACATATATGCATATGTATATATGAATATAAATATGTTTCAGAGGCAAATTAATATTTTAATTTTGAAACATTACATTTTCGAAAGGGTGGGAAAATTTCTTCTGGACTTCTATGGAACAGGGCCTACAATAGTTCGACATGAGATTCTTTCAAGTATTTGAAAGCTGATCTCCTGACAGAGTCTTTTCTTCAGGCTGACCATCCACTTCCTTCCTTCCGTTATCCTCCTCCTCTGGCATACTATCTAATCCGATCCCCGTTCTAGCAACTTTCCTCAGGACAAGTGCAAGCTGTCAGCTTTAAAATTTTTTTTTTTAAATTGAAGGACCTTTAATTTTATTGGCATAGGAACTGTGTCTACTGTGGAACACTTCCTCAACCAAGGAAGATCATCTGCTCTTCAATTTATGGTTCTAGTGTTTCCTAGGCCACTGTAAAGTTAAGTGACTTGACCAGGACCACCCAGCCAGCATTCATTAGAGGCAGGACTTGAGCCCAGGTTTTCCTGACCTGGAAGTCAGGCCTCTAGCCACCATTCTGCTTCCTCAAAAGGCATCAATGTCTTTATTAAATGTGGCTCCTGAATGACATTTGGGTGTGGACAGTACTAGGATGACTGCTTCCCTTTCTGACACTATGCCTCTCTATGAAGCGTCAGATCTCATTAGCTTTTTCTTCTGCCATAGGGTAATGAGATTAACAATTGGAAGGAACTTCAGAGTTCATCTAGTGACTAGATGTGGCCCTCTAGGTCCTCAAGTGCAGCCCTTTGACTGAACCCAAACTTTACAGAACAAACCCCCTTAATAAAAGGATTTGTTCTGTAAAACTTGGACTCAGTCAAAAGGCTTTATCTAAGGACTTAGAAGGCCACATGTGTCCTCAGGTTTCACACCCCTGATTCTAGTCCCTCCCTCTACAGAAATGAGGCTCAGAGTAAGGAACTATTACTTAAGGATGGACAATGAGTCCCAATTCGGGATTCAAATCCTGGGAGTTCTGATCAGATTCGCTGCCCTTTCCACTACAAAACTCTCCCTCTTTTTTCCTGTCACGCTCTTTTACTCCTTAGAAATAAAGAGGAAAAAAAGGAGCAGTTGCTTATTCAGAGACATGTTGAAGAAAGCACCTTGGAGAGGACCAGTTGATATCAAAGTAGGGAAAGAATAGTCTTGCCCAAATTTGGTCCAGCCTTTTCCCACTGACCTTGTAAAATCTCCAAGGGCCTTAGCAGTCAGTGGAAGATGAGCAAGGCGACTTAGTGTCACGTGTTTCATTACAGCTAGGTCTGCCTCACTAATCCTGGGCTGCCCCCAGAGGAGTCAAAAGCACTCCTAGTGTTCAGTATATCAAGGAAATGTGCATAAGTCACATAAGATGGGATATAAGATAATTACCTATAAACATCAGCAGACCTGATTTAAACAGCTTGAAAAAGGATCAACTTTGGATTTGAAAGAAACAGGAACAAATCACTAAAATTCTCTAGTTTCAGGTTCTTATTATAAAATGACAGGCTAGACAAAATGATTTCTGAGGTCCTTTCAAGCTCTGGACCTCAGATCAAGTCATCTCCTTTTTGGCTGTCAAAAGTCATGACTGTTGTGGATATGACTACTAGAAACAGCTGGGTACTGGGTAGGTCAGGAGATCTTTGTCCTGAGCACTACTAGGTTTGCCCTCTAGCAATATGAATTTTTTTTTAAAAAGACAATTGGGGTTAAGTGACTTGCCCAGGGTCACATAGCTAGTAAGTGTCAAGTGTTTGGTCTGAGGCCGAATTTAAACTCAGGTCCTCCTGAGTTCAGGGCCAGTGCTCTATCCACTGCACCACCTAGCTTCCCCTAGCAATATGAATTCTGGCTAATCAATTTCTGTGTTGTCTATGGCCCTGTTTCCTCATCTGTAAAATGAGAAATTTTTTTTTTGGACCTGATGATATCAAAGGTCCCTTCTAGTCTTAACTATCCTGTGGTTTTATTTTTACATTTAGGATCAGTTCAACAGCAAGGAGGTCACCAGTTTAGCTATTGTTGGTCTCTTCTAAAACTGACCATAAGGGCTATTTACATGGGGCTTTAAGGCTATCAAAACTCTTGGCATCCATCATCTTGTTTGAGGCTCTCAGGGGCTCTCTGCAGTTATTATCCCCATTTATGTTGAGGAGGAAACATGCAGAGAGGTAAACTGATCCAGACAGTTACACCATTGGTTAATGTCAGAAGATGGTTTGGCCTTGGAACTTTTGGACCCAAGTCTAACCGTGGATCCACATTGCACAGCACCCAAAGTAGTAAAGAAAGTATAGGATCTCTCTCTCTCTCTCTCTCTCTCTCTCTCTCTCTCTCTCTCTCTCT